TAACTTCGCACAAGGGCTGGTTCAGATAAAATATAATCGTCACCGGTGTTGGCCGTGAGCAGGAATCGAACTTGGGAATGTGCCCTCCACCATGACACACATCGGGACACATGCACACCTCCATCCTAACACGTAACGCATATTTCCCATGTTCACCCCTCAATACCAAAGCACGCTCACCCATCCCTACACGCATACACACACACACTCCAGTCCCACTCTCACCCATACATTCTCACACACACCCCTCCACCACCACCACCCCCCTCTCCCCTCCTCCCCGCATCTTCACACATGCCCTGCTACCCTCGCACACCACTCCATACTCTTCCTAACCCCTCAATCCCCACTCTCACCGCTCCGTCCTCACCCACACCCTTTCATTCCCCCCCCACCACCCCTCACTGATCCATCCGTCCACTTTCAATTTGTGCAAACCGTGAATATAATCGATTCGTAGCACGCACGGGTGCGCTCGAATCGATGCGCCGTTTCATAATAATAATTCAAATGTATCATGCGCATTCCATACTAGGATCCCGATGCGCAACGCATGAAACGCAGTAAACAAAAACAGAACCAGGGGCAACCGACCAAGCGAAAGAGTGAAGGCCACTTTAAGGAAATGGGTTTTCAAAGAAGACTTAAATATATCTACCGACTCTGATTGCCCTGATTTCAGGTGGCAAGGCGTCCCATCGCGTGGGTGCTCCGCCTGCCCCTTGCCCACCCACCCATCTCCCCCGGCTCGCTGGGAGACAGCTGCTGTTAAGCTGGAATAAGACTTGCGGAGGCGTTGCTGGGGGACCTCCCCCCCCCCCCTATTCCTCCCGAAATGCATCTGCAAATAGCAGCGCCCCCCCCCCACCCCCGCTCCAGGCCTCCAAGGGCCAATTAGGATCATGGTCATCATTTAGCGCTCGGTCCGTTAAAATGCTGCGCTGAATAGTTGGGAAAGTTTAGGGTCCCAGAGAGGATCCCGAGGCTTCGGCACTGAAACGTGGCCCCCGAGCCGCGAGTTTTTGGAAATGGACTTGTTTGGCCCGCAGGCGAGCTTTCCAGGAGCGATCGTTAAAAGGTTGTGCTGTTACGGCTCTCCGATGCGTTTTCGGGTCGTACCGCGGTGTTGTTCGGAGCGCTGTCCCGACGTTTTTCCGCTCCGAGCGCGTGGAGCGAAAAATGATAATTCAATTCCATGAAGCAGCTCCCCGGCACGTGCAGCGAAACGTCGGACATCGTGCCGAACAACACAAGGATGACGGGGTCGAAGACTCGATCTCCTCTCCAACACAACAACTTGCCGCCGCCGTCGCACAGGATTCGGTCCTCGCTCTCATTGAGAGGGGGCGGCTCGAGAGATGCGAAGACGAACCACAGACGAGCGGCACCAAAAATTGCCCAAGCTCTGCGATCCTCTATATATGAAGGTGTTGTCGGCCAATGAACAAGTGTTGATGCATGTGGGAGCAAAAAAGGAGCACTGGGAGAAAATACATGTTTGCGAGGAGGCAACGCTCTATCCCATGCAGATGGAACAGGTGGAGTTCGCTTGTTCTGCCTTCTCTTGGCGAGCCAGGGAATGGCTCCTCCTTGACACCCATGGGATGGGAGTTTCATAACATCTGTGCAATCCACCAACCCTAGCCTCCACAAGAATCGATTACAGGCCATGTGCTTCACCACCACCGCCGGATAATTCCAGACCGCAAGAGCTTGAGAACATCTGAGGTCATTACACATTTTGGGTGGATTGTACTTCTCCATCCTCTGCAGAGCCCAGATCTGGCACCCTCACATTTAAGGGACGACCTGTGTGGTGAAGATATTGTGAAAACGATGCCCCCGTCTCTGTCCAAGATGTTGTATGCAAATTGTTACATTACGCTGATGGTGATTTTTTTTTTATTCTGTAATGGAATCCTGGCCCTGGTTCCATGTTGGCACTCGTGCATAGGAAAGGATGGAGGCTATGTTGAAAAAGAGCCAACACATTCGTGACATCCCCATTCAGGAACATCTATCGTTCAATCACAAAACTTAGATTATGAAAATAATGAGACGTTATCTTTGGTGCACGGGTCTTCTGTTGGGTCAGCAATGCTCGTTGTTGAATCGGTAACAAGGTAGAGGTGCAGCCCTGCAATTGCTTGCTCATGTCACTGCTGGCGGGAGTTTCATTTGACTGTATTGTCACCTACTTTTCCAAGCTGGCCAGACTTCTTTGGTAACGTTTGGTGTACCCCACACTTTACAGCCAGCCGATCGCATATCAATGGTGTACCCACTGATACTGCTGGATGTGGATAGAGGCAGGAGAGTTTATACTGGTAGGAACCTCCTGGTTACACCAGCCCACAGGGGATTATTATGTCTGTCCGTCGTGCAGGGAGGGGCTGGGTGGGGATTTTCCGATCGTAGCATGGACATATTTTCTGGTGCTCAGTCCCAGACAGCTCCAACTGAAATGAATCTCCCGATACGATGTAACATTCAGCATGTTAATCGAGGCTGCACTCAGCATTATAAACGATGACAATATGACGCCACCACACACGGCTGTGGGTATCTTGTGCTGTTGTAATTATGTAACACAGCGTAGTACACAAACACACAGCGGGTATTTTTTTACGCATACATATTTTTTAATAACCACACTTCGGAAGGGTCTCCACGAGTCCGGCGATCGCTGGGAGGACCCCAGAGCGGACACCAAACTAAACAATTTTTTATTTTACCAGTTAAGGCCCCCAACTGCGATGTCGCTCTTTTTAAATCCTTTATATTAAGTTCACTTGCTTGCTTGCGCGCTTACGACCGTGCAAATCTTTCGGTCGTTTTTTAACCCACTTCCCATGATCCAATCGAGCTGACATTTTGCACACAGACTCGTTGTGCGTGACAATTTATTTTCGTGAAATTTTTTTTCCATAACTTTACACTTTTTAGGATTTTTTTTATATTTAATTACTAATTGCTTAATGGTGGCAGGCAATCATCTGACCCATAGGTGGCAGCCATCTCAAGCCAGAGGACGAGAGGACTCTAGCCGCCACGCATATAAAGGATTTATAGTGAAAAATTTAGTTTTTACGGGTTAATTTTTTCAGAAGCGATTTGGCCACAAATGATAGCTCAACGAAGTGGCTTCTCATCACGTGGAAACGTGTAGCAGCCAAATACTCTTAATGCATGTTTCTAAATATGGAGAGAAACCCCGGAGGACCTGGAGAAAAATCCACGTGACTTCGGGGAGAACACGCAAATATGCAGGCGTCCGGGTTTGAGATCGAACCCACGATCTCATGTATATCAGGCGAGGTCGTTACCATCCCGCCACCGTGGCGCCCACGAGATGGTGGGGATTGAGACGATGAAAGCAGATCGTGGTGGTCGCTGCGTGTCTACCGTGCGGCAGCGTTGCTGGTGGCATCGATGGCTTTGGCCGCAACGATGTCTCGATCGTGATATTTTCGCTCAGGTATCCCTGTCGCTTCACGCGGCGGTAGTAGATGCGTTCCAAAACGAGGGCGCGCAAAGCGAAATCGCGCAATGCACCGCACAAGGAGACAGCTGCCTGCCGAGTGACGAGCACAGTACACAGGCACAACACAAAGATCCCCCGTATAGCCTTAACACACTGTTGGGGCAAGTGCTGTTAGCGAGCATCTATGAAGGCCAGAATGGCACACGAGGGGGTGGGTGGCCAGCACCACGCCCGGCCGCCTTTGTCTTCCCAGTGGCGATATTTACACACCGCACCAGGTACTCATTTGAGGCTGAGTATACATAGGGGAGGCCCAGAATCGGTTCAGATAATCGTCACGTGTTGGCCGTGAGTGGGAATTGAACTCGGGCCGTTGGGTTCGTAGTGCAGCGCGCTAATCGCTACACCACCGCTCCCCACAGTACACACACAGAGTACACACACAGTACACACACAATGTTGTCCCACTTCCGACCGCATAGCCGCATATGAGTGAATTCAAACCGCATTAAGCGAATTTTTGGTTCGAATGTAAACAAACAATGCAAAATTGCACAAACTGAACCCGCGTAAAGGGAGGGAAGTCTGTAAAATGCTCCTCTTGTCGATAACTGTCTCACCTCGTACCAAATCACCTTGAATGCGCCCGTTCTCATCACGTATCTGAAGCTAAGCAAGAGTCCGAGCCTGGTTAGCGCTTGGCTGGGTGACCACCAACCGGGGCTTGCCAGTCGTCGTAGGCACAGCGAGATGTGACCAAGAGATGGCAATCCCGAGTGCGGACGTGGACACTGCGGCTGCTCATTCGAAGCTTGGTTCGGACTTTTGTGTTGGTGCCCAGGTGTTCGTTTCCGTGCGCGGATTTCAAACAAAACAACGGCAGGTGGCAACGCTCGCGCCTCGCAGCAAGAGAAACCTCGGTTCGATTCCTGACTCGGGCGCCTCTTCTGCGTGCAGTTTGTGCGTTAGCCCCCTTTGTCCGCGTGAGTTTCCTCCAGGCTCTACGGTTTCCTCTCACACCATCCACTGTCACTGGTGTTGTTGTCCCAATGCAGGGACCCTGCCGAACAACGAGTCTTTGGACTCGTTGTGGCTTTCCCAGGTAAGTAATTTATTATTATGAGATGTTAACGACGTCGCCCGGTATACAGGAGGTTAAGAGATCGATCCCAAACCTGACGCCTGTATATGTGGAGTTTGCATGTCCTCTCTCCCCGTGGTCGCGTGGATTTGTCTCCGGGTCCTCCGGGTTTTCCCTGCAACATTTAGAATCAACATCACGTGTTGAGATAATTTCTGGCTTCTAGCAATTTCCACACGATGATGATAAGCCACTTTGTCGAGCGATCATTTGTGATGGCCAGGTTGCTTCTGAAAAATAACGACACAGCTCAGTGGGCCTTACCTGATGAAATACAAATAGTTTAGTTTTAGTCGAGTAATTATTAAATTATGATTATAAAACCGAAGCTCCCTTTGTAGAGTATCTTGGCGGCTTGTCACGCGGTCACACGCGTCAGGCACAGCGCTGCCGCTGGGCGGCCCTCCACACGAGGCGGGGGGGCACCTCCAGGCCCGACACGACGGCCAGGCGGCCCGCACGCAGGGCCAGCAGCGGGTAGAGCGGCCTCGCCAGCAGCCCGCGGCCCGGGCGGAACGTGTGCAGGTGCCGCTTGTCGCCGCCTACGCTCGCGTCGTAGAACGCCAGCACGCCGCGCCCTCCGTCGGACATCACCCCGACGCGGCCCAGCCGCCGCGTGCCCGCGGCCAGCGCGGGCAGGAAGACGCGCTCCCTGGTGGCGCCGTGCACTGCGAAGAGCCGCTCGGCTCCCAGCAGCACCAGCGTCCACTGCAGGCCCTCCTCGTCCACGTCGTCCAGATCGCCGCCGCCGTCGTCGTCGTCGTGATCGTCCTCGCTGCCGCCGTCATTGTCGTCGTCGTCGTCCTCGTCGAAGCCGCCCCTCTGCGGCGCCCGCTTGCGACGACGCAGCGGCGCCGGGAGCGGCGGCGGCGGTGCCCTGCGTCCGCCGGGCCGAGGGCCGGCGAGGCTAACGCCGACTCGGAAGTCGCCGGCGCGGTTCACGGACACCTCCCAGTAGCAGCGCTGCCCCGCTGGGATGGCCCGGTCTCCCAGCACCGTCAGGAAGTCGCGACTCCGGACGGGAGGGGCGGCCCCCCTGCGCGCAACGTTGCCACCTCTGGACGGACGGATGGATGGACAGACGCATGCATGGACGGACGGAACAAACCGGGACAGTGTCCCTCGCTGGGAGAGCGAGCAGCTTGCAATTGGAAATGAGGCTTGCGAGATCGAATCCGAGTTAATAGTAAAAATGATGTGCCTTTGTAAAGTGGCGCAATTTCATCCGTAAATCCCACCAATGAGCCACCGTGTATGGAAAGCCAGGAAATAAACAGAACCTGCAGGGTAAACGGACACAACTAGTGGGGGTGAAGCCCAGTTTAAAGAGGCGAGTTTTCAAGACAGACTTCAATATGGCTCACGGTTCCCATTGTCTTAATCACCAAGCCAAAACATTCCAAAGTTTGGGAGCTGCGCTGGCAAAAACCCGATCACCCCAGAAATGAGCCTCGACCTCGGAGTACTTAGGAGCAATCCATCAAGCCTCCAGGCTGGATACAATTAATGTCACTCACTTTTGGGGGGAAGTCACCAGTGGTTTCCCTATTGAGAGACTAGTCCCCATCATAGGAATGTGGAATTTCCACCACTGGCACAGGATATAACAGAACCATGGTTCTTCATATCCTAAAAATATCTGGTGATGCTGCTGCTGCTGCTTTGGCAGTGGGGCACAAGTACAAATAACAAAAGAACTTCAATGCATTCGTCAAGAAATCAAGACAAGGCCACACACCGCTGATTAGATGTCGATCCACTGGTTTGGACATGTCTGCACGGACATGTCCCATCACGCCTCACGGTATCCCATGACCCGACACTGTGTCTCGTCAGGCCCCACGGTATCTCATGACCCCCCACGGTGTCTCATGAGGCCCCACAGGCACCATAGTTGCGTAACAAGGAAATAAAAGCTGCGTGTTCAGCGTCTCAACGACCAAAATCGTATTGCGCGTGAAGAAACACGTCGCTGCGAATCGCCGATACAGATCAACGTTTGAGAGCCGAGTCCATCTTTAATTGCGAGCAACCGGTCCAGGCAACTGCTCGCAACTCCATTTCGGACGCGGCCAAGTTGCGTGCAAACCGATCGCCCGGGTCACCTGCTTTGCCGCGCGGTCGCCTGGTGCCACCGCCCGTGAGCGGTCAGGCCGCCACCACCGCCGCTGCCGCCACCGACCACGACGCCGATGGCGCTACCGATGACGTGGCGAGCCACGGGCCGTGGTCCCTCGGCGCAGCACTCCACGGCCCGGCGATCGGCACTCAGGCGGAGGCCTGGGGAGGCGCTGCCCGGGTCGAGGCAGAAGTCGAAGACGCCCCCGTCGGAGGAGGTGGCGGTGATGGTGGGGAATCTGCTCACGCAAGAAGAACGTCGGTGTCAGGCGCCACGGTGGTGAGATGTTAACTGCCTCGCCTGGTGTACAGGAGGTCGTGGGTTCGATCCCGCCCCTGACGCCTGTTGTATATTTGGAGTTTGCGTGTCTCTCTCCCCGTGGTCACGTGGATTTTTCGCCGGGTCCTCCAGGTTTTTTTCTCCACGTTTAGAATCAACATTCCGTTAGAGTATTTGGTTGCTATGAATGTCCACGTGATAATCCACTTTCTCTGCGCTATCATTTGTGACCAGGTCACGTCTGAAAAAGAGCTATATAGCTCAGTGGGTCTTACGTGGTAAAGTAAAAAATAGTTTTAGTTTAATCGGTAGGAGCCCAGGCTGGAGGTGGAGTGGTGGCGCCATTACAATAACTTTGGGGGGGGGGGGGAGGGGGGCTAGAGTGCGCTAAGCCCCCCTCCCCTTTACCTTGTGATTCTAGCCAAGTTATTATTATTGCACTTATTTACCTGGCAAAGCCACATTGGGTCTCGAGAATCTTTGGAACTTTGCAAATACTGTTGTCCTGTGTGCTCTGTATTCTTAGTTTGTTTTGGTAAAGTCACGTAGGTAAAAAATTTTAATTAATAAAAGTAAAATAAAAATTAAATGAATATCAGGACGTTTCGGAGGCAACACAGACGGAAGCTTGTGTTGCCTCCGAAACGTCATGATTTTTATTTTATTTTTATTTAACTTTTATTAATTTAGATGTTTTACCTATGTGACTTTACCGAAAAAACCTAAGAATATGAATACTTGCAGTCATGAAAGCTTCAAATCTAGAACTTTGTGCTCTGGTTTGTGTCTCCCAAGTCTTTTTGGCATTGACCAAAGTTGGCCGATTTTACTCCCTAATAGCGACACGACGCTTGTACTGAAGTTCCCTTCGCTCTGGACCCTCTACCTGCACTCGAGCCCCGTGCCCCCCATCGTGCCTCCACCGCGGTACGGGCAGACGGAACGAGAGGACTTGGCGACGCTACTGACGCTTCGACTGCCGCCCCCCGTGGGATCCCGGCTGCGTTCGACCCACGCAGCATCTCCCGATCCGCGCACCTGTGCACCACCTGTCGACGCTCGTTGTAGTGGCGGTGGTTGTGGTGGTTGTCGTGGTCGTGGTGGTGGTGGTGACGATGGCGGTGGGGGTCGGGTGGCGCCACGCAGGGAGCGTGCGCTCGGCTCTGCCGAATCCGAGTGCCGTCCATGATGGGTTGGTTGCGCGGGGGGAGCCCTGGCGCCGGCGGGGAGCAGAGGGGGCCCACTCGACGGGGGTCCCCGCGTCGCGGGGTCTTCTGCCCCGTGAGCCACGCGCGTAGGGGCTCCAGCGAGCGGAGACCCCCATCGTCGCCGTCTTCTTCGTCGTCCCACTTGTCGTTTTCCTCTTCGAAGACGGGCTCGGAGAGCGTGGAAAACGCCTGGTTTTGGAAGGGGCGGAATGGGAGGAGGGGGGGTCATCACGTTACGGAAACGCAACGCAACATGCACACTCGTAAGTGTGTGGGGGGGGGGGGGGGTTCATTTCAGTTGGGGCTGTCCAGGGGGCTGATGTCGGGGAAGGGTGTCTGGAGGGAGGTGGGTTTGGGGGGGCCCCGAAAATATTGCGTGAGATATTAAATCCAGCTAATGATGATTATAATAATTCGCTTTAGTCACGAAACCCTGGCTGGTTACATAGCCTATGGACAACCCCCCCCTCCCCCCGTGACCTGAGCATTTCTTTTTTAATCATAGATTTGAAGACTTTTTTAAATTATTAATGGGAATGCGTGATCGGACGATGAATAGTGCAGGGTTAAGGGGGGGGGGGTAGTAAGGGGCAATTTTCGAGGGTGCGAGGGGGCACTGACCGGCGTGGTGGGGAGGCATTCATCCGCTACAAAGATCCCCCGTGTAGCCTCAACAGACTGTAGGGGCAAGTGCTTTTGGCGAGCACCTATGAAGGCCAGAATGGCACACGAAGGGGTGGGTGGCCAACACCACGCCCGGCCGCCTTTGTCTCCCACAACATCAGTTACTCATATGAGACTGAGTCGACCTAGGGGAGGCCCAGGACCGGTCTAGATATACGTCACTGCTGTTGGTGGCCGTGCATGGGAATCTAACTCAGTACGCAGGTTTCGCAGTGCAGCGCGCTAGCCGCTACATGACCGCTCCCTCACCCCTCCACATTCACCACGGTCAGGAACAAACACACACACACACGTACTTGTATTATAAATAAAATACCCAACAAGGCCCACTGAGCTAAATCGCTCTTATTCAGAAGCGACCTGGTCACAAATGACAGCCCAATGAAGTGGCGAATCGTGTGGCGATGTCGATCAGCCAAGTACTTTAAACGCGCGTTTCTAAATGTGGAGAGAAAAAAACACCCGAGGACCCGGAGAGACATGCAAACTCCAAATTTCCAGGCGTCAGGGTGAGTTAGGAATCGAACCCACGTCCCCGTGTCGTAGTGCACCTCTCGCCACCGCACCTGCAAGAAGGCCCTCTGTTCCCTGGTCTTGGCGATCGAGTCGAGGTGCCCCCACTCCTCCTCGAGGCCTCCCTGCCGCAGCTGCAGGGAGGCGAGGCGGCCCAGCCTGACTCTGACGAGCTCCGCGGCCGCGGCCTCCCCTCTCCGCGCCACCAAATCCCGCAGCCTCCCCAGCTCCGCGCTCAGCCTCGCCATGGCCTCCACGTGTCGCTTCTGGATTATCACGTGCGCGTAATCATCAGCATCAGCCTCAGACATGATCTATCCACTGCTCGACGAAAGCATCCCCTCTCCCTGCCACAAGCTCACAGTATTCCCAGCTCCGCACTCAGCCTCGCCATGGCCTCTGCGTGTCGCTTCTGGATTATCACGTACGCGTAATCATCAGCATCATCAGCCTCAGACATGACCTATCCACTGCTCGACGAAAGCATCCCCTCTCCCTGCCACAAGCTCACAGTATTCCCAGCTCCGCGCTCAGCCTCGCCATGGCCTCCGCGTGTCGCTTCTGCGCCGCCACCACCACGTGTGCATCATCATCAGCATCATCAGCATCATCAGCCTCAGACATGATCTATCCACTGCTGGACGAAAGCATCCCCTCTCCCTGCCACAAGCTCCCAGTATTCCCAGCTCCGCACTCTGCCTCGCCATGGCCTCTGCGTGTCGCTTCTGGATTATCACGTACGCTTCAGCATCATAATCATCAGCATCATAATCATCGTCATCGGCGTAATCATCACCGCCGGCGTCATCATCAGCAGAAGCAGTTGCAGTTTCACCGGCACGAGCGGCACCATCAGCCAGCGGCGTCTTCTTCAGCAGCGCTCTCAGCGTCGGCGGCGCTTAACTTAACCGCGGGCCGCAATCAGTCGGACAAAACGCGCGTGGCGCTGGGCCGGCGGCGGTGCGCACATCACGCGAACGTCTCCGCGCAGGTGTCATCCGCACGCTACCTCCGCTCGGTGCCGCGATTGTCTCACCAGCTCCACCCGCTTCTCCACCAGCCTTTTGCGGCAGTCTATCGTCTCCTGCGAACGACAATGACGACGGTAAGAACGTCGATTTAAAGCTTTCGTGACTGCAGGGATTCGTCTTCTTGGTTCTTTCGGTAAAGGCACGTAGAAGGGAAATAATAAAATAAAAATAAAATATAATAAAAAATTCTCACGACGTTTTGGCCACAACGCAAGCAGCCGTCCTCAGGTGAAGAACAGGTCTGGCGGAAAAACAGCGTCAAAACGTCGTGAGAATTGTATTTTATTATGTTTTATTATTTTATTATTTCCCTTCTCCGTGACTTTACCGAAAGAACCAAGAAGAGTAAGAACGTCGTTTCGTATTCATCACATGGGTCACACACAACAAAAACAATCATCCCCCGTGTGGCCTTTAGCTACAGCCTGTTGGGGATAAGCACGCACCGTTACCGAGCTTTGAAAACTAAATGAAGTTATATTTTATTTGACCAGGTAAGGCCCACTGAGCTATATAGCTCTTTGTCAGAAGCCACCTGGCCACAAATGACAGCTTAACGAAGTGGCTTATCGTGTGGCAATGAATAATAACTAAACACTCTAAACGCACGTCGATTCTAAATGCGGAGGGTGAAAACCGGAGGACCCGGAGAAAAATGACCATCGACCATGGGGAGAGAGAGAGACATGCAAACTCCAAATAAGCGAGCGTCAGGATCGAGATAAAAACCCACAATCTCCTCCATACCAGGCGAGGTAGTTACCATCTCGCCACCAGCCTTGAAGGCGCGCACACGTGGGGCTAGAAAAAGCAATGTCCTCCGCACCTCCAGTGAGCACGGTTTGGCTACGTACGGCGCGAAAGAAGTTCACCGCGCACACACACACACCTGTCAAATCTCATCAGAGGGCCCTTTTACCTTCGCCTTGTCCTGCGCCGCGGACAGAGGGAGCGCAGTGTGCTCGCGGTGCCCCTCGTACGCGCACCGGTAGCACAGGCGCTCCCGGCAGCGCATGCAGAACAGCGTCAGCTGCAGACCCTCTCGTCCGTGGATGGAACACGCGTCCCTGCTTCCACGGCGGGGTGCGAGCCCCGATGACGCTGGTGGCGACGCCGAGGGGACCCGACCAGCCCCGTCCGAAGGGGCGCCCCTGCAGGACGAGTTGTTGTTGTTGATGTTGTTGTTGTTGTCGTTGGGCTGCGATGAGAGAGCTGGGAGGGAGGCGAGGATGGGGCGACACGCCGCGCAGGCGGCTCCGTGCGGGGTCCATCCTCGACACGGGTGCGCGCCGGGAACCCCCTCGGCCGCTGTGTCCGCCGCGTCGTCCGTGAGCGAGCACATGGCTCGGTGTCGAGCGCGAGAGCCAACTCTCGTGTAGCGAACGACAATGTTGTTGTTGCTGCTGCTGCTGTTACTCAATGTGTGCGTGCGGGTGCGCTGTGCGCGTGCGTGTCTTTTTTCTGTGCGTCCGTATATTTGTCTGTCTCGGTGAATTTGAATGTCTCTGTGTCGGTACGTGCGTGCGCGTTTACCTTCATGCGAGTGCGTAAAGTGGGGGAGCGGTGGTGCAGCGGTTGGCGCGCTGCGCTACGAACCCGGCGACCCGAATTCGATTCCCGCTCACGGCCAACACCGGTGACGATTATCTGAACCGGTTTTGGGCCTCCCCCTGCGTCGACTCAGTACCTGGTGCGGTGTGTGAGCATCGCCACTAGGGAGACAAAGGCGGCCGGGCGTGGTGCTGGCCACACATCGCCTTGTGTGCCGTGCCGGCCTTCATAGGTGCTCTCCAACAGCACGTGTACCCAACAGTCTGTTCAGGCTATACGAGAGAGTTTTGTCTACGTGTGTGATACGTCTGCGTGTCTTGCGTGTTTGTAATGTGTGTGTATGTAAGTTGAACTTCTTTCGCACCGTACGCAGCCAACTGTGCTAATCGGAGCGCTTATATATTTCTGTGCGCGCGCGTGTGTGTGTGTGTGTGCTTACACGTCTGATGTCTGTCTGCACATTCATATGCGTGCGACTGTCTCTGTGCGTCTCTGTGTGTCTCTATTCTCCCGGTCAAAGCCCCGTTGATGATAGACTCACGACGAAGTCTTCCCCCGACAGACGCCTCTCCCACGGTCCACTCGCTTGCACTTATCTCCGAAGAATAATTTAACTTCGCTCCGCGCATTCACGCGCTGAACATTCTGGCCCAAGTGGCGTGCAGTTGAGGCCACTTGCACCATTCAAGAACCCAGCTAATGGCGTTTGGTAAATAGACAAAGACAAAGATCCCGCGCGTAGCCTTAACAGACCGTTGGGGCAAGTGCTGTTGGCGAGCACCTATGAAGGCCGGCACGGCACACGAGGGGGTGTGTGGCCAGCACCACGCCCGGCCGCCTTTGTCTCCCCAGTGGCGATGCTCACACACCGCACCAGGTACTCATTTGAGTCCGAGTTGACCTAGGGGATGCACAGGACCGTTTCGAACAATCGTCACCGGGAATCGAACTCGGGTCACTACGTGCGTGGCGAAGCGTGCCAACCGCTGCACACACGTTGCCCATGCACCGCGGGGGGCATTGCAAGCGAGGCGAGCACCCCCTCTCCACCGCGTATCCACGGCTTCTAGTGGCAACCTCGGGGCTGAGACGCCGACCCACAGCGCGATTCATCTGCCGACGAGATGAATCGAGGGTTTTCAAGTGCCCCTTGGAGCACACGCATACGAACAAAGGCACAGACCCCCCCCCCGCCGCCCCCCCCCCGTTATCGCCTTCGCAGGCTGTTGGGGCGAGTAGCACCTGAGACGCACGAGGGGGTGGGTGGCGATAACCACACCCGGCCGCCTTTGTCTCCCCAGTGGCAATGTTTTCTTACACATCGCCCCGGGTACTCATTTGAGGCTGAGTCGACCTAGCGAAAGCCCATGACCGGTTCAGATAATCGCCACTGGTGTTGGCCGTGAGCGGGAATCAGTTTTCAGTTTCATTTATTTGGTATAGCCCTCTTCTTGGTTATTTCGGTAAAGTCACGTAAAAGACAGCCCTGTTCTTCACCTGTGGACGGCTGCTTGCGTTGTGGCCGAAACGTCGTGAGAATAGTATTTTATTGTTTTATTTTTATTATTTTATTATTTCCCTTCTACGTGACTTTACCGAAAGAACAAAGAAGATGAATCCCTGCAGTCACGAAAGCTTTAAATCGAAATTTGGTATAGCCCTGTGAGCCATTCGGCTCTTGAATCCGGTGCAACCGCAACAAACAAAAGACAAAAACATGAACAAGAAAACTACTTAAAGTGACTATGCGCAAACAGAAAAATCCAGGAAAAAACTGAAAAATCTTCCAGAATCGAACTCGGGTAGCCGGGTTCGTAGCGCAGCGTGGCGCTAACCGCTGCATCACCACTCCCCATCATACACACAGACAAAGATCCCCCGTATAGCCTCTAACAAACACAAAGGTCCCCCGTTTAGCCTGTAACAGACTGTAGGGGCAAGTGCTGTTAGCGAGCACCTATAAAGGCCGGCACGGCACACGAGGCCTCTAACAGACACACACACACACCACCGCACAGCGAGATGCTAGAGTAGCTCTCGGGGCTCCAGACATTGTCCCGCCCGCCTTCGAGAGGCGATGTAAACATCTCAAAAGTGAAGGGCGAACAAAGAGTTCAAAAGGAAGGGGGTTGAGTGAAGAAAGGTCAGAGGTGGAGCTATCGGACGAGAGTTCGATTCAGGGTCGCGCCAGACACGGCTCGACTATGAACTCAACTATAAAACTATAAAACTATTTTAGTATTTTATAGTTTACTAGGTAAGGGCCCACTGAGCTATGTGGCTCTTTTTCAGAAGCGACCTGGCCACAGATGATATCTCAACGAAGTGGCTTATCAAGTGCAAATGTATAGCAGACAAACACTCGAACGGGACGTTGATTCTCAATGTGGAGGGGAAACCCCGAAGGACCCGTAGAAAAATCCACGCGACCACGGGGAGAGAGACACACCGCAAACTCCACATATACAGCAAGCCTCAGGGTCGGGATCGAACCCACGACCTCCTGCAGACCAGGCGAGACAGATAACATCGTGTGTATATGTGCCGGTGGGTGCGTTTGAATGGGCTTCTAGTTTGTTTGGCTGACAATGCGACGGGCGTTCTCACCTCACTGCCTGTCACCGTGTGTCGCCTGTTCACTTTTGTACGGTCGCAGACAACGAGCCGACGACGGACGTTTGGGTCACGGATTCGAAGCCAGATTTCGGCCGCCCGTGATCAAACCGGTTCCCAGCTGACTCCTGTGATTGACGTCTCCACTGACTCCCCCCCACCGCCCCCCCCCGAACATCCTTGATCTACCAACTCCAGCTGATTCCAAATGCGGCTGCCAGACTCTCCGCCTGAATGAGACCACGTCTCCCCTAATTCCTCCACTGGCTCCGAATACAATCCCGGATCAATATCAAGGTCACGATCCCGGTCTTCCAAGACCCTCCATGCCCTCGCCCCTGCCTGTCTCTCCCTCTCATCTCACTCCACTCCCCTCCACGCACTCCCCTACCTCTCATCTCACTCTGCTCCCCTCCACGCACTCTCCTACCTCTCCCCTCTCATCTCACTCTACTCCCCTCCACGCACTCTCCTGCCTCTCCCCTCTCATATCACTCCACTCCCCTCCACGCACTTGCCTACCTCCCCCCTCTCATCTCACTCCACTCCCCTCCACGCACTCTCATGCCTCTCCCCTCTCATCTCACTCCACTCCCCTCCACGCACTCCCCTGCCTCTCCCCTCTCATCTCACTCTGCTCCCCTCCACGCACTCTCCTACCTCTCCCCTCTCATTTCACCCTACTCCCCTCCACGCTCTCTCCTACCTCTCCCCTCTCATCTCACTCCACTCTCCTCCACGCACTCTCCTACCTCTCCCCTCTCATTTCACCCTACTCCTATCCACGCTCTCTCCTACCTCTCCCGTCTCATCTCACTCCGCTCTCCTCCACGCACTCTCCTACCTCTCATCTCTCATCTCACTCTAATCCCCTCCACGCACTCTCCTACCTCTCCCCTCTCATCTCACTCTACTCCCCTCCACGCACTCTCCTACCTCTCCCCTCTCATCTCACTCTACTCCCCTCCACGCACTCTCCTGCCTCTCCCCTCTCATCTCACTCTACTCCCCTCCACGCACTCCATCTGTTTCGTCGCACGTGGGATAGAGTGTTTCCCCCTCGCACGCGTGGGCTTTCTGCGGCCTGCGACGTGCATCAGGCACGCATTGCATCGGCCGGGAACGTCTTCATATACAGAGGACGGCAGGGATTGGGGCAACTGTTGGTAGCGGCGGCTCACCACGTGGCATCTTGCACCCCTCGCTCGCCTTCGGTTCCTCCTGTTGGAGTCGCGTGCTCTCGATCTCTCTCTTCGAGGGGGGGGGGGGGACGAATACTGCGCGGCACAGCGTCGCAAGTTGCCCCTTGTCCTTCTCGTTGTTGTCATTACAGAGCGCCAGCGGTAGGTGGCGCCATCGCTTCACAAAAGTGGCACGCGCGGGCAACCAACGAAAATCGCGGGTCAAAAATCGTGGAGGGGAGTGGAGTGAGATGAGAGGGGAGAGGTAGGGGAGTGCATGGAGGGGAGTTGAGTGAGATGAGCGGGGAGAGGTAGGAGAGTGCGTGGATGGAAGTGGAGTGAGATCAGAGGGGAGAGGAGAGGTAGGAGAGTGCGTGGAGGAGAGTAGAGTGAGAGGAGAGGGGAGAGGTAGGAGAGTGCGTGGAGGGGAGTGGAGTGAGATGAGAGGGGAGAGGTAGGAGAGTGCGTGGTGGGGAGTGGATTGAGGTGAGAGGGGAGAGGCAGGAGAGTGCGTGGAGGGGAGTGGAGTGACAACCACCATGAGATTTGTTTTCAACAACAGTGTAAAAGATCAAGAACACGTATTTAAGAATCGGTTTATTTTTTTTTCATAAAAATACATTCCTTCACGTTCCATGTTTTATTCTATTTTAATTTAATTAGAGAAGTAACGTTTGGCGACCGTGCCAGACAAATCGATTATTAGGGGGGGGGGGGGGGGCACCTGACGCATTGGCGCACCCCCTGAGCCGATAATGTCGTGACGACGCCACGGCACGCACATCATGCTTGAGAGGAAGCATCACACGGACACGGCCGATACATCGATAACACTGGTCCACACACTTTTTCTGGCATTAGGTTTTCCAACGGTAATTTTGGGGTGCTGATTCCAAATCTGGCATCACTTTTTGTCCATCACATCAGGTTTTTGAGATATCAAATAGTGCATTTTCAAAAAAAACTGCAGAAGAAAAATATTCAATAAATGTGAATA